TACGAATCATCGCAAGATTGTCGACGATAACTTATTGCCCGGTTATGTTAATCTTATTACCGATCCGGCTTAATAGTTTTACGCATGTTTGACTGGAGGTGAGAAGATATGATCTAGAAATACACCCTAATGTTGTAATTTATATGGATGGGACGTTTCGCCTTATAATTAACTTGTAGTTATTTCTAATAACATTCTGACCATTTACCGTAAACTACCAGATACCTTGTAGCTACAACTACAATAACTCAGGCTCAGGCACGATTAGGACGTCGCAGGGTCGGACTTCACGTTATTACACTTGCAGATTCGTTGCTATGTAGTGAAGGAATTTGTTGTTATCTTTCCTCATACTACCGCAGGTACAGAGATATTGAAAGAAGCGAAAATTCTGATTCTTATAACCATTGGGCAAACTTTTAAAATTTCAAAAGAATTATTTAAAGAAAAAGTGTGGTCCTAGAATAAATATTTTTTAACATATGTGTAACTGCAACAAAAGAAATGTCCAGGCTCCACATTTCAAGTGAAAATCACTTGATAAAGTTTGGAAATGAAGTCATTAATTTCTTGAGGGGACTGGCCAGCGTTTTATGTCTTAAGCTCTTCTTTGTTTTGATGATGTTAATAGTACTAATAATAACACATATTTAAAATGTGTTCATAACTAAAGAATTCCCCCAGTTATCAAATTTCTAGCATCCAAGGTAATGATTAATAACTCCTGTATTGTTATAGTCTATTCCTCAAATGCTACTTTCATGATTTCTCGACGTTTCATGGCCCGTAGAGTGTGAAAAAATATGTTTTCCGTTTCAGTTTGTCTGTCGTCTGTTCGTTGTTTGTTACCCGTTGTCTGTGTTGATATTTATTAGACCGAATTATAAGCATTTGAGAGATACTTCCAGTTTTCTTAACGAAAAAATTATGTTTACACTTTTGTCCTTGCCTAAAGTTATTTAAACTTAACTGGTTCGATTTAAACCACTCCAATATCATTGACTGCGTTTATTCGCAGAGTGAAGTAGTATCGCCAGGTTATAAAATAGAACCCAGTTTCAAAAATTAGGCATATCGTTGATATATATTAAAAATAGCAAGGGGCTCCTTACTGAACCTTGCGGAACACCATTATTTCTATTGGTGCACTATCCGAAAGTTTCCTTTAATTTTAACTATTTAGTTTCTATTTTCCTAATATATAGGATCTTAATGCATTTAAATTAAAACGTTCTATTTTATATACCTACTGACAACTTATCTAATAAGATATAGTGTAGTAAACGTAGTCAAGAGCATTGGAGAGGTTCACAAACGATACTGCTCCCAGCTGCTTTCTTTCCGGATAAGATATAAGCTTTTATGGTAGAATGTATTTCTCTAAAAACATACTTTGTTACTTTTATAATATTTAGTTTCAACGCTAAAAACATACTCTTTTACTTTTGTAATATTTAGTTTCAACGCTTCTTGTTTTAGATGATATTAACAGCTTGTAAATGTCAGACTATCTACTGAATGCTTTAAAAAGTAGCTGTCTACAGTTCTGTTTCTTAAATATCGAACATTGTGGTGCTCATAATTTTATTTATTTACTTGATAAGGCTACTAAAATCCTTTTTGGTATAATCCTTCAAAACTGACACTAAAATTCGCCGAACATTATTTTTTTGTTAAACAATTATTATTATTTTCTGATCACTTGTTAAAGTAAATGTGATAAAAATCAAGGTGGATTCATAAACCACTAGTACAGGAGTATTTTATACAATTTAGATAACCTTTACTACGCAAAATAATGAGGGAACGACATTATATTGTTAGTGGGATGACTATACAAAGTTTTAAATCACGTATAAAACTGGACAGCAATCGGACCAGCAGTTTGAGAGATTGTTTATCTAGTAAAAATTGACCCAGACAGATAACAGATGACAGACAAACGGAATCTGGAAACCCATTTATTCATATTTTGGAATGTCGTGTGAAAGTAGCCATTCACCGGATGGACCCTCTTTCCTTGGTTAAATGATTTTAATTCAATTTTATCCATGACAAACATCAAAGATTTGACTTTAAAAAAATCATTTTTTTTTTGTTTAAAATACATATATTTTGTGCCAAACATCTTCCAAGTAATACAAATTGTTTTGAATTGCTATTATTTTTTTAAAATCCTTAATATTCCAATTTTTTTTATACATTTAATTCACAATCGCTGTTTATAAATAGTTTGAAAAATAATGCTGGAATACATAAATTAATTAATTTTTGACTAGATTGGAGCTGATTCCATAAACATCTTCTGAATTGTTATTATTCCTACTATTGATTACCTGCCGAACACCTACAAAAGACACTTCAGTAAATTTAAAATTAGCATTTGACAAGTTATTCTTCAGCACAGAGTGATTAGTATTTTTCTGCTAAATTAAGGAAGTTTTTTAATAGGGCTCGTCCCTCAAATGACTACTTTCATGTTTTCTTTGACGTTTCATGACCCATAGAGTGCGAAAAATAAGTTTGTCTGTCATGTGTCTATGTCGATTTTTATTGGAGACATAATCTCCGAAACTACTGGACGGATTGTTCTCAAATTTTGTATGTATGTTAGGAATACATCAATGCTAATCAAAATTCGTTCAATCATCCTGACCTGTTGATTTAATGACATTTTTTTATATATGCCATTTCAATTTTCTAAAATGACGTATATTCCTATACTTGTGGTTTATAAATCCGCCTTGTTTTTTAGCCTAAGCATCCAGATTTTCGCAAAAAAATCCAAATTACATCATCACATTTTCACATTTTGTAATAGGATAAGGGTACTGCGGAAAACTTCGTAAAAAATGTTTTTCAAGGGAATATCTCAGTAGAGCCAGTCACAGTCTTGCGTTTTATTAATGTATTCACAAGTTTGGACCGTTCACCTAATATCTCCGTACTCCGCGCCAGACCAAATATAAACCAGTTAGCAGACTCTGTTTTCTTAACATAATGCGCTAGAATCAAAGGCAGTGGCGTAGAATGGATGGTTAAAGTATGATACATTAATGTATTCAGAAAAACAAGCTATACAAGAATCTCTAAAAAATACAAAAATTTTGTTATAATAATTTTTGAAACATGAGGAATTTGAGTGTCGTCCAAATAAATTTCGACTAATTTTTAGCACGTCTAGATGAACGTTGTCACAGTCTGAGTGTCGCCTAGAATATGGACTTCATACTTTAAAAAAAATATATTAGATACTTCACAACCTATGTCATTATTCCTTATATACATATATATACATACTTATTTATCACAAAATTGATTTTATACCTTTCATCCTGCGTCCAATTTATTGCTTGTGGTAGTTATAATTTTAATGTCTAATAATTTTTTGGATAGTTTTCTACGACCCTAGCGTGATATAAGGAAGTATTGTAATCGTGTCCATCGGACGACTGGCGACTTTAAAGTGTTCTCGATGTTACCTGACTCCTAGATTACGAAAAAGTAGGTCTCCCCTTTCCGTCTGTCTGTCTATCTATCTGTCTGTTGTCTGTTCGGATTTTATTAGACAGAAATCTCCTAAAATACTAGCCCGATTGTTGTCAAATTTTGTAGGTGTATTAGGAATATCATATTAGGTAAACGCTGCTCGAAATTTATCTGATCATCCCAACGACGTGATGCCGCCCGCTCAAAATTTTGTACAATAAACATAAATTTCATAAAATAGTATACTACTACACTAGTACTTCGTGAATCCGTACTGAATTTTTTATTATTAGAAAATTATTATATGTAAAGGTTCAATCCCACAACGTTTCCATTTTTTTTTTTTTTTTATAAGATTAAGTCACTCCATTTCCATGAAAATTATAGTAATGTCGCCCGCGGCTATATTAATAATAATAAAATAATTATTATTACTATAATAGCTCCTCAAAAGTATATTCCGATCGTTTTGCCCCATTATAGCTTAAGTAATCCGTTCTCTCAATCATCATCAATCAATCAAATTTCATTTTCTTTTAACACAAATGCATGCTGATGCTTGTAATCTGAACGTGCTTACAGTCAATTCTTCCGAAGGATAAACATGAATACTCGAAGTTTAGCATTTTACTATGAGGATCAAAAAAAAAATCACCAAAATAAATGTAGTTATTTTGATAGCCTTAGTTGGCAACCATGCAAGTTACTGTCGAACGTTACGTTGGCACAAAAAGCCAAAATATGATTGAGTTCTCGTTTTCTGACCTCGTTCTAGGTGCTTTAAGTATCGATATCATATAATGTTTATATACATGAGATGATATGTAAATTTACGTTATGAATAGATTTAGTCATCATATTTGGGTAAAAAAGAATACAAAGGGCAGATAAAAAATGTCAGTTATCGGTTAAATTTGAATTATTCCACATACTATGAAGTCAGGAATATTAAAGCACACAATAATGCTTTAAGAGAATCTATTAAAGCATTGTTTTAGCTGAAACCGTGCTTTAATGTGATTCTAAAATCACCAAATAAAAAAAAACATTTTTTATCCAAATATGTGACGACGAAAAGACAGACAGATAGACAAACAGACGGAAATGGGGAACCTATGGATTCGTCTTCGATGATTCTGGTTAGTTTCAATTAAAAAAAAATTATTACCATATTAACCTATTTATTTCTAGATATTTTGTTGGGAGTTCAACCCCCAAGACACCCCTGCACTTCATTCCCCTAAGCACAGCATCCTGCAGAATTTTTTTCTAAAGCATTTTCCGCTAACGCGTCCGCCCCCTGCATATGACTCACATTGTCATAAATCCATCATTCCAAAAAAAACCACTCGATTAACTTATTCACCCTTCATTTTCCGCCCCGCCGAATCCTACGAACCTAATGCGAATTCGATGTAAATGTTCATCCCCCGTTTTCACCCGTTGCATCCGCCCACGCTCCGGAGCAGTGCTTAAATGTCAATTAACCGGAATCCCCCGTAAAAACTCACCTGTTGATGGTTATGTTCCGGGCTGACGACGCCTAAGCTGTCAAGCGTGAAATTTGGCGAAAGCTCCAGCATCCAGCGAACGGAAGGTGGGAACCTGTTGGAATTCGTCGAGGTTTGTTGGCAGATGAGTTCAATTGAAAGGTCAAAGTTCACGGGTAGACGCCTGTCGCACTTGGACTCGTCGGGCGCCCACGCCAGCGTCAGGGCCTCGCTCAACATTTCAGCCAACAAAGCCAAACAAACAGTCGAAACGGACAAATTCCGGGTACTCAGCCCAAGGTAGGAATGCGGGTTCCGGTCACTTTCCGGGAGTGAATGTGACAGTGCTTGGGTTGTTGCCAGTGAGGGATGCTAATCTTGGGAAGCGAACGCGAGGTAAGGTTATGAATGGAGCTAGGAAGAGAGATGGTTGCTGCACTTGTTGATTCTGAGTGGAGCAAAAACATACAAAAATGTGACGAAAATATTTCGGAAGTGAAACCAGATTGAACCGATTTGTTTTTGTTTTTCAGAATTTTCTGGAAACGGAAGCGCTTTAACGATTTTTTACTTAGAGGGTGATTTAGACGAAAACTCCGATTTAAGAAAAACATATGTAGCGTTCTATTTATAATAGTGTTTCGACATATTTGTTTCCAAACAAAAAAAAACTTAAATCGATAACGTGATAAATTACGTATTTATTGTTTTATAACGTCAGAAAGATACGACATCAAAATATATCAACATTTTATCATTTTTCTAAAAAACTTAATGTCGGGGTTAAAAGCTCGTAAATCTTTGTCTCTGTGTAGTATAGTATAGGGAATAAGATGGTATCGGTTTGATCTGGTTCTACACAAACTTATTTCCCCCGGAAGTAAGCGACCTTTCGCTTGAGTTTTACTCCACCATCTGTACAAGACAACTTGATGGTAATTTCGCGTGGTATAGCTGGCGATGTGGGATTAGGATAAGTAATAATATAGGTAGAAAAGCTTTTTTGGGCGAGAGCTTTTTCAAACTCCCTTATTACATACTGATGATTTAATTATAGGTGTGGGCGGTATGACCTTTCATTAATGTAGCTATCACCCGATTATTTTTGTAACAACGTTCTTTGAAATGAAAGCGTGTTAAATATTTCCGCAGATGCTTTTCCATGTTAAATTAAAATTATTAATTATAGTAAACTGTTTATTTTCTTAATGGGACCTTCTTGTTACGTTTTCCCCTTTAATTCTGAAAGATAATTTAGAAATATGTATGAAGATTTTTTTTTTGTAGAATTTTCCGGCTGAGCACTTTTATCATCGAAAATGGCTGAAATAGCTAGACTGAGCGCTGGTAAAAATTTTATTTAAGATTTACTAATTCGTAGTACAACTTGGGTTTTAACCGGTCTTAATAGGCTTGGAATTTTGATATCTTATGAAAGAACAAAACTCTTATAATGTCTAATTTATATTTCGCCATATACCAAGTACTTTATTTCCATTAATCTGTACAATATGCTCCAAAGTACTAACTACGTGAGAAATAAATTGGCCAGAAGTTAGATAATTTATATTGTTAATACGCCACCGTAAAATTTATAACAACTTTACAAAGTGTTCGGCTTAAATTGTCAAATAGATTTTTTTTATTGTTCTGCAAGTTTGCAATGAAAATGATAATAATGAAGCTGCACATTTTTACTAATACACCACAATCCACCAAGAAATTAAATAATAACCAATAGTATATAAATATCTACAGAATAAAAGTAAAGGGCTCAATTTAAGTCGGGCTAGGGTGGGTCAAGTCAGGTCGGTTCGGAGTGGGTTAGGTCAGGTTAAATCAGGTCAGGTCAGGTCAGATTAGATCAGGTCAGGTCTATTCAAGTCAAAAGTTTTTCTAGATTTGTGTCAAGAAAAGAATATAGGAGAAAACAACAAAGAGACAACATTGCATCAGGAAGAAGCCTTGATAAATTGGAATAATGCAGAATGAAACTAAAACGAATTTTCCATGTTCTAAGTATGTATAACTGAAACGGCAATTGACTATTTGGTAGTGAATGAAGATACAAATACCTGCCTTTCAGTGCAAGACTAGAGATAATACCTGTTGAAAAATGAGAAATCTTCTAAATACTTAAGACTTTTAAGGAAATTTGACAAAATTCAGGATCAGTCAATTGACAATAAATCAAAATAATTTTGGGAGATTCGACTGAAGAATAAAAATTATGCTGTTAGTAGTCACCATTCAAGAAAAAAGCAACAAAGGAATAAATGAACACCAATAAGGATAACGGAACACAGCAGAAGAACCTAATACTAACAATTTCTTCCATGACAAGAAACCATGAAATGAGAGATGACAATAAAGAAAAGAGTGATTCTTTCCTTGAAATTGGAAATAGGTTTTCTAGACCAGACTTTAATTCGTAAAATGTTGAAATAATAGTTGAAGATCGGACGAAGCTTACCAGAGTTCCTACAATGTTTTTTTTATATGTGAAGCGTTGAAAAACATCCTTGTTCCTTTCAAAATTTGCAAATGAACAGAACTGAATCAACAGTTAGAAATCGATGTTGGTTGACCTCAAAGTTAAGGATAAGACTTTAATAGTAGAACGTACAGAATAAAAATAAAGGGCTCAAGTTAAGTCAGGCTAGGGTGGGTCAAGTCAGGTCGGTTCGGAGTGGGTTAAGTCAGGTTAAATCAGGTCAGGTCAGGTCAGGTCAGATTAGATCAGGTCAGGTCTATTCAAGTCAAAAGTTTTTCTAGATTTGTGTCAAGAAAAGAATATAGGACAAAACAAGAAAGAGACAAAATTGCATCAGGAAGAAGCCTTGATAAATTGGAATAATGCAGAATGAAACTAAAACGAATTTTCCATGTTCTAAATATGTATTACTGAAACGGCAGGTGACTATTTGGTAGTGAATGGAGATACAAATACCTGCCTTTCAGTGCAAGACTAGAGATAATACCTGTTGAAAAATGAAAAATCTTCTAAAAATTTGCAATCCAGAAAAGATTTATCTGGGACGCATCGATGTAGCATATCTACCATTAAGAAAAAGCGCTAATACGTAGACTTTTAACGAAATTTTACAAAATTCTACAAAATTTTGCTACTGCAAAAGGATTAGTCAATTGACAATAAATCAAAATAATTTTGGAAGATTCAACTGAAGAATAAAAATTATGCTGTTAGTAGTCACCATTCAAGAAAAAAGCAACAAAGGAATAAATGAACACCAATAAGGATAACGGAACACAGGAGAAGAACCTAATACTAACAATTTCTTCCATGACGAGAAACCATGAAATGAGAGATGACAATAAAGGAAAGAGTGATTCTTTCCTTGAAATTGGAAGTAGATTTTCTAGACGAGACTTTAATTCGTAAAATGTTGAAATAATAGTTGAAGATCGGACGAAGCTTACCAGAGTAAAAGGTAGAAAGGAAAGGTAATTGGAGAATTGGCGACATTGTATATTTGAGAAATCTATTTTAAACTAAGGAGCACCGTCAATTTTCAAAAGTATGACACACTTTAAAAAAATTTAAATGACATGATGGATCAACAAACCCTTTTACACATGATATCAAATTTCAATATCATTTATTAAGATAATATTATTTTTTTAAATATTGAATAAAAATGTTTGTTCTTTTTTTTAATCAATGAATTTATTTCAACTTTGGTATCATGTGTAGAATTAAATAAGCTCTCAAAATATAAATGCAAGTTTCCACGAAACAAAAATACCAACTCTTGCCATATACCATATAAATCCGACCTATAAATATTTGCTAAGACACTATGCATAAAATCACCTGTGTGACAAATAAAACAAAAAATAACAATTTATGTATTATTACGTCTTGCAAATGTTTGGCGAAAGTACAAGGGATTTGTCTGCTAAGCTTCAGTGCATCTTACAAATACCTACTTCCTCTACCCGGCCTTAAGTTATTTGTGTAACAGATAGACTCTTTACTTTATTCATTTTCTTGAACGCAACGACGTTGTATGGTTTCAGGGCGAAAACTTTATTAAGTTGAAATATAAACAATTCTTTATTTTGACATCTTGCTAAGAATAGTGACTTTTATATTCATCATTTTGGACGTGTATTCAGCGTGTTTAAATCCTTTGTCAGTAGACAAAAACCTAAGAGTTCCGGTTGACGATTAGCAGTGAACTCTAATTATCAAGTTTTATTTTTAGAACATTAATAACACAATTCTTAAATTTGATAATTCGTGAAATATTGTAGTTTAATTAGAGCAGCAAATTGCAGCAGTTGTTTTTATTGAAGTATTGATTCCTTTTACATCAAAATTATTCAGATTCAGATGTATGAGTGTACGGTTGTGGAGCATTTATAGGACTTTGAAATTTAATTTGTCAAACCATTGTCAGAAGTATTTTATTAAAATTTCTATAGTTAACATGTTTCCAATACATTTTTCAATATGGATCATATAGTACATTTTTGTGATTTTCTTTGGCCAAAGTTTTAATTTTTTTAAGACACTCCATATGCCAAGAGTTGGACCAAATTTTCGTATAGTTGGCCACAAAGACCGTAGCAAAATGTCTCTGATCTATACATTCGATTTTATTGGCTCTAAATGATAACCAGTCTATCTCCCGACCAAGCAAGAAGTCTCCAGTCATCGTTTTTAATTTATTTCCATCCAGTGATAGTGTTGATATTGTCTTCATTCCGCTAAATGCATCTTTATCAATTCTTGTAATATAGTTACCATCAAACCATAAAATGAAAGGTCCTGGAGACTTGATATTACCAAAACTGCTGGCAGGTAATTTCGTTAGTCTGTTGTATCTAAGATCAATAAATTCTAAAGAAGGGGTCTGCAGAAACCAATGAGGATCCACACTTTCAAGTTGATTAAACGACAAACCTATGTATTTCAAAGTTGTCATATTGTCGAAAGCGTTGGGGTCTATTTGATACACACTATTGACGTACAGTTCCAGGTTAGTCAAATTAGATAAAGAGTTGAAAATTCCTGTCTTGATATGCGGTATATTGTTTGCAGTAATCTTCAACCTTCTTAACTTTGGTAAATTCCGAAATGTTCCAGGCTCGACATCAGTAAGATTCTGCTGATCTATTTCCATCCACTCGATGTTTTCTATGTCAGCGATCAATCCAGGCGTCAGAACATGCATTCCGTGTGTTGAAAGACTGTAGTAACCACTCATATCATATTTCATGTGATATGTGATTCCATTTTTCTCAAACGTGGTTGCATCACTTGATACTGCTAAAATATAAATAACACTCAAAAAACTCAAAATTTTAGACATGTTATTGTGTTGCTGCAACTGATTTGTTTCAACTGAACGCAAGAGGATGTTACGCTTTATAAAACTCATTATCGCTAATTTATTTTGTTTATGATATCCAATAATCGTTTTTTTCTCTGAATTTAAAATGTGTATTTTGCATTCACATACAAGATAAAAATTGTTTGTATTTTACCCAACATAGTTCTCCTTGAATTGAGTTAATAAATAAGTAATTATTGATTAGTTTAGTTCTAACTATAAGGCAGTTTTCGTTGATTACACTTTATCTCTTTAGTAAGTAGAGTTCGCCCGCTATAAAATTTAAATAGCAATTATAAATATTTATCATTTTGGACGTGTATTCGACATGTTCAAATCCGTTGTCAGTTATATGAAATTTCATCGATTATAATATTCCTATATTATATTGATAAGCTTTAATCGCTTATCAGAATGTTATTCGTACATTAATAACCCTAATCAAATTTCTTAAATCTGATAATTCGTGAAATATTTTAGTTTGATTGGAGCAATGAAAAAATGTCTTATATTAAACATCTCTAAAATACAGTGTTTTTTTTATACAAGTATTGATTCCTTTTTACATCAAACTTATCCACATTCAGATGTAGCAGTGTACGGTTCTGAAGCACATATAGGACTTTGAAATGTTGCTTTATCATATTATATAAGCTAAACCATTGTGAGAAGTTTTTTATTAAATCTTTCTATAGTTAATATGTTTTCAATACATTTCTCAGAATGGATCATATAGTATACTTTTGTGATTTTCTTTGGCCCAATTTTTAATTTTTTTAAGACACTCCGTATTCCAAGGGTTGAACCAAATTTTCGTATAGTTGGCAACGAAGACCGTAGCAAAGTGTCTCTGATCTATACATTTGATATTATTGTCTGTGAATGATAACCAGTCCATCTCCCGACCATGCAAGAAGTCTCCAGTCATCGTTTCTAATTTATTTCTATCCAGTGATAGTTCTGATATTGACTTCAACCCGTTAAATGCGTCTTTATCAATTTTTGCAATATCGTTACCACCAAACCATAAAATGAAAGGTCCTGGAGACTTGATATTACCAAAAATGTTGGCAGGTATTTCCGTTAGTTTATTGTAGCTAAGATTAATAAATTTTAATGAAGGTGTCAGCAGAAACCAATGAGGATCCACACTTTTAAGTTGGTTATACGGCAAACCTATGTATTTCAAACTTGTCATATTGTCGAAGGCGTTGGGCTGTATTTGATACACCCCATTCAGAGACAGATCCAGTGTAGTCAAATTAGTTAAAGGGTTGAAAATTCCTGTCTTGATCTTGGGTATGTTGTTCATAGTAATCTCCAACATTCTTAAGTTTGGTAAATTCTGAAATGCTCCAGTCTCCATATCAGTAAGATGCTGCAGTTGTATTTCCAGCCACGTGATGTTTTCTATGTCAGCAATCAACCTAGCCGTCAGAACACGAATTCCGTGTGTTGAAAGATTGTAATAACTAGGGTATGTAGGGTATTTCATGTAATAAGTGATTCCATTTTTCTCAAACATGGTTGCATCAGTTGATACTGCTAAAATATAAATAACACTTAAAAAACACTTAAACATATTATTCTGTTGCTGCAACTGGTTTATTTCAACTGAACACAAGAGGATATTTCTGTTAGACTATATAATACTCATTATCGTTAATTTATTTTGTTTATGATATTCAATAATCGTTTATTTCTCTGAATTTAAAATGTGTATTTTGAATTCACATATAAGATAAAAATTGTTTATATCTTACCCAACATAATTCTCCTGGAACTAAATTAATAAATAAGTAATTAATATATGTATGGTTTACCCGATAATACAGTTTAAATAACAAAATTCTATAATTTCTAGAGTAGTTATAATAATTATATAATTGTTTGTTATTATTTAATGCTTGTAAATATAAGCATGTGTGTTTTCGCAACATAATTTGTCCGTATCATACACAGTGCCGAAATATGGGTGATTCAAGTATGATACATTAATGATTTTAGAAAAAGAAGCTCTACAAGATTTCTAAAAAATATACTGTGTTATTAAAGAAACAGTTGGATGTCGTAGACCAGCCGTATGTTGTCAAAACACATTTAAAGGTTATCATTTAGCTTCTTACACTGTTACTAGTATTACTTAATTACTTATCTGTATTGAGCAGTTCTAAAGTATAGGGGTAATTTTTCGAAGAAGCGAAATTTGTTGAATTATGCTTGAGGCTAGTAAATACTGAAAAAATATTACTGGTCTGATAACTCGGTAAAGTAAACAGCAGAAACGATTTTTTCTATTTTTTTAACATTACTGTTGCTGGAATGATACACGAACTTTGTTAGCTAAATGAGAGCCTATAGTGGTTCAAGAAAAAGTATAAAGCAGGTTTGGTATTTTATTTATACATGTTATGATTTATGAGCAATAATAAACCCATCGGACGTCTCGCTATTTCGAAAAATAATGATTAATATTAATTACCAATTTAAAATTTCGACTTAATACTTATTGGAATTCGTTTCACAACAGCGCCTGTTATAAATAACATTACAAATTAATAATAACAAGGCGTTGAGGGTTAATGAAATTAATTTGACAAGAAATTTTCATAATGACCTTAATGGAATTACATAGAAATAATTTATGATAAAATTTTACGTAATAAACACATTTTGTTTATACCGAAAGCAATATCACTGGTCGCTTTAGCATATTTATTACTAATATTTCCCAGTTTTAATACTTTTAGTAGAACGAAGTGCAATAACGTAATACTATTTGCTCGTGTTGAGTGAGAAACCTGTTGGGATATCTTTAAAAGCGGTCGATATTTTCTACTTAATTTTTTTCGTGTTGATGGAATTTCATCTGCAAGTAAATAGAGTAGATAGAGAGAAAATCTCCCGGATTACTTTGAATGTACCTGCTAAATGGCTTTTATTATTTGTTACTATAGGAACATTTCCCTTGATTTTATTGATCACCACCGAGCTCGATGCTTAAATCTTGAATGATGAATGAAAGTTCTTACGAAATGTCATGGCCGCGTTGTCATAAATATAAGTCTTTTGAGCCATTTCTGTAGTTTTCAATTGAATTTTTTATTAGATAATGTAATCAATATGTTAAAAATACACCATTGATGCAATTTCCAGCAAGTGCTTCGATCGTTCCATTGTTTTATTAACAGCACGCTCACTTAAATTTTAATATTTTAAAACATTTCATTCTGCTTTTACAGTGGGTAATCAAAATTAATGACTGTGCGATATTTAATTGTTCGCTAGATTCATACAACGTTTGCAGTGATAAAGAATTCAATTTCACACTTATCTCTAAAACGGTGTTTCCATTCTCTGTATCATTTATCACAGGTTCATAAAAATCGGATAATTGTAGATTCTTCCAGTTGGATTAGTTTCATTCGTACCGTAGAATGAGCGAGTGCATATTATAAAGTGTGAAGTACATCCTGTTCATAAGCTTATTGCAGCTCATAATGATATTACTTATGTAAAGGATTTATTACCTGTCTCCACGAACATCGTAACATTTCTAAATAAATCCAGTAAGGATTCTTTATGGTCCTGGTATTCCTTCTGGTGAGAGAAAATGAGCATATGATGGAACAACTCGAGTTTACGTATGTACAAGTAGACATTAGGAATTCAGATAGGCAGTGCGCCTTCTGGTGGTGCAAATGCGAATTTATGATGATTGCGCATTAATTCTATCACCGTTCGCTCCAATTACTTATCAATAATGGTTTCAAATAACAATGGAATGTAATTTAGGTTACGTGGATGCCATTGTGCAACATTATTTGATTCTACCGGGTAGTTTGTATATACAACAGTGTACTTACAAGTACAACTAGTGCCGAATAATTTTTGAGTGCCGCTTACTTCGTGCGTACGGATACTATTTTTGCCGCCTGTCAGAAAAGTTTCGCGTACTATAGATGAAAATTTACATAAAAAAACACGATAGTTGCTTGTCATTAATCACGCAGATTGTGTCACAAGAATCATAATACCACGACAGTAGCGTCAAATATTTCTAAATTCCTGTGCCAGTCCTTTTATCAGTAATTCAGTATCGCCAGATCCAGCCTATACACGGCTTTGTGCACTTAAAATCGTTTAACTTTATTTTATGACGTTATAATTAATTTGTGTGGTCATAAAAATTCGGTTTATGCATGACGTTTATGTCTGTAAGTAAAACATGTCCAACAATCAATCCGATGTTATTAAAGATACCGAAAGAAATCTGTTCAGGGTATTAAGAAATAATAAAAAGGAAACACACGAAAACGATTCCCCAAATTTATGTCCATAATAAATCTCCAGAATTAATAGATCTCGCGGTGTGTATAATTCGAATAATGTTTAACCAAATCGCGTTTTTGGGCCCCGTAATATAATTATTAGGACTTGTTGAAGGTGTTTACATTTCATTTAAAATTACAGGTTATTATTCAAAATGAGCGACAGTTCGTCGAATCGGAAAATTACAGGATTAGAATTTAACGCATCACGCACCCAAAATTTGCTGTCTAAAGCACCTCATTACACACATCCGTTATCAATGAAACTAGTAAAGTTTTGCATAACCCGGTTCTGCGTGGGAGTCCTGAAATATGTTAATCTTGTTGTGCATTTTCCGAGCATGAACATCCGAAATTCGTGTTCTCCGTCTCGAGCTTCGTTCGCTATTATTAGTACGCTTGAGTTTTCTCTCATTCCCGGTAATGGATAATTTTCGATGATATCCGTTATTATTTAACGCTTAGTCGATGTTCCTGACATACGATATAAAGAGAACGTTCATAATTAATAAGGAAGAAATGTTCTATATAATAATATAACAGTAACAATAACACCAGTAATGATAACAGTAATAATGATGACAGTAATGACAATGATAATGATAATGATAAAAGCAACAATAACGTAGGAACAACTTGGCTGAACTCTGCTGGAAATGAAAGCATGTACGATCAGCAGGTGGGTGAATGTCAATCATAATTTTAGCCCGAAGCAACAAGTCGTGACCTAAGTCAATCCATCATGCAGGCAGAGAGTGCCAATAGGCTGACCACGTTTAATTGCATTTGGAGATGAGAGTTCAACTGTAATTAATAATTAAAGTTTGACTGTGATGGTGAATTATTGGGCGTTGGAAGGCCTGTGGCTATCAGATCGTGAATAAATAATAAGATGTGAGGATCAGAAAAACGCCACGGATCTTGTTAATGAGAGAGGAACAACTCGAAAACGACCGGCTGAGAGTCATACAACTCATAAACATAATAACGAACACGAGATTATTCATTTAAAGCAGACACGTGTTGGAGAATCGGCGAAACGAAATCGATAAATTTTTGGATGGAGCAAACTGCTAATTAAAAGATCGCTTAATGGGGAAGACTCGCCTACAGTCAAAATATACACACTTAATGATCGTACAGGAAATCTAATTTGTTGAAAAAACGATTGAGATTTCGTAAGAGATTGCTTTACGAGAAGGTGATTCAAAGCTGTACCTGTTGAACAGACTTTGTTAAACAGCGTAGATTAGTACCCACATTTCCTTTATTTTAATAAGTTTTTAGTGTCACTAATATGATAATTAATTCTTGATAAACACTACGGCTCTGATGTATGATTCGAGTCTACGCTTTTAATTTCCTACGAGTTTCTAGGAAATTTCAAGGGAATCTTTGTGTTATCGTTTTAAAATTTAGAAACGGCAGCTTGTCAAAGTAAATCAGCTGTATTTATTGTACGATCAAATCTACGAACACATTGAGGTGAATTATAATGCCAGGTTCCCTTGAAATCTAATTTTAACATCAGTAGAAAAATTGTATAGGTTTACAGTTTAGGGGAAAATAGGAATTTTATGGTAAAAAGTACTATTCAAATTACTACATCCAGTAATTAACACATTGCTTTATATTGCAAATTTCCAAATATTCATTGTTAAACTTAATGCAAAATTCAAATGATTGATTTAGAAAGGGATAACAGGTTTGATACAGTAAGTATTTTGTATTAGATTATTCGTTGTCAAAAGTTGTTGCACTTAGAGCTGTATTAAACAGCTTAAATTTATGGAGTTCCTGGTCATTACTGAAAAGAATTTACTCGGGAATTCTAGTAAACAAGGCACTGGTGTCAGGATGACAGGGTGGATTTATTTACAAAAGAAAAATGTCCTGATTAGCCTGAATTGGAGAATTTCGACTAGGTACAACATAGTTGAAGTTAAAGAAAGTACATATGGTTAGTGTTAACATTGGAAAGAAATGTCGGTGAACTGGAACATTGCCATAGAAGCTCACTATCAAAAAAAGGTTTTGCTTATCATCCCCGTACCTCATCCATTTCACATTTCAGTGTCGCCGCTTCCTCAGGAACCGCAGCAGCATCGTTCAATGAGTGAAAGTTCCTTTGAAGTAAGCTAGTTTTTAATTTGAACCAAAATTTTATTTCTATCTCTACTGATCCATTAGAGTACTCCAGGTGCTTCTTCTCTGGAGAGAGAGCTGGCGCCCGAGTAACCGTCCAGTCGAAGGCCAACTAGCTTGGTGTTAATGCCCCCTCTTCTCCAAGACCGTCTCCGTCGCCATCACCGATCCCTGGGTTTTGTCGTAAAACAAGACCAACACTTTCTTGAAATTAAAAGTAGGTTTGCCACGTCAGATTTAACGTTGTCAAGTGAAGAAGAAGAAGTTAGTGCTAAAAAGTGGAAGAATGAAGTAAGCATAAAGGGAATCTACGAAAAAGAGACTAAAAACAGAACACGGTAGACCTATGTCGTCGCTTTTTAGTATGTTATGTTATATAATTCAAGATTTATAGATAGGACGAAGAGAATTTGGGGAATTGATGCAAGTCAAGAAGAGAATGGACAATGAAATAAGGAATGGATGAGGAACGGTAAGAAAAAGCAAGAAACAAAGACCGGAGTTGGAGTTAGTCTATGAAATTAGGATTGGGGAAAGGTAGCTGGTCATGCAATATTACTGTTGGTTATTGGCTTGAGAAAACCATGATTTTTAAGCGATCTTACTTTTGAGGTAACCTCGAAAGGTTATCTTAAAGGATCCTTGCATAGCATATATTGTAGTCGGTAGAACCAAAATTGAGAACAACATACGCCCCACTTAACTAAGTATAAGAACGCGTCGAAAACAATTTCGGGAAACTTTTGGCAGCGTTTGATTCGAGGTATGAAATCAGTCTAAAAAAGAAACAGAGTTCAAAAAGTTTGGAAATCTTACACTGGCGATGGGCTCGGGTGGAGCCACAGAATTATAGTTGAGATAAAGGAAAGACGGAAGACTGTGGTGGCATGAGCCAAAGACGTCTCACCTGACAATCTTCTCAGCGCTCCCATACTTATTAAGGTACATGTGTTAACTTAACTCTAATGGTTAAGCTAACCTCAATGTTCCATTTTTTCTGATCAGCACCTTCACTGTTATTACTCATGTTAATCAACCAACTTGTGCAATATTGGTTCGTTTTATTTCTTACTATGTTCTTGACGTGTAGAGACTTTAAAGTTTTTATCAAGATTTATGTCTAGATATTTAATAAGTACTCTTTTTGTTTTTTGAAAGGCGGTTTTTCCGGATTTTGTGTTAATTGTACTTCCTTGAGTTTCCTCCTCCCTGCCAGCAGCAGTATTTCTGTTTTCGGTTTTTTGAGTTTCATGTTTTCTATCTTCTTCTCTATGGGTTTAAGTGCCATGATTTTCGTTCTAATTCCTCGCCAACACGACCAGGACAACCTTCCACGAATGCTATTGGGTGGGTTCCGAGTGGTACTTTTGCATAAAGAACTTGGTCATAAAAGTAGTTCGACAGTATGGGGCCCAGGACTGATCCCTGAGGGTCTCCGCCGGACATATGTATCCAGTTCCCATATTCTGTTACAATCCACCTGTGTGTGAAGTAAAGAACGCGTTCTTTATGTTTAGTAGTATCATTTAGTAGTAGGGAATCCTCGCATTTTAAAGGTTTTTTGTTAATTTCTTCAACTTTTTATGTCCACACCGCTGTATATTTTCCTCTTTTAAATGCAAATTGATTTCTTGACCCACCCCACCCCCTTTGTTTTCTATTTCTTTCTCTAGGCTTTCTCCTATCATCCTAGTAATTTCCTGATATTGTCCAAGAAACATATGCGGCGATATTCTGTAGATTTTTTATTCTCTTTTTCGGTGTTTCTATGAGCATCAATCTAGCCAGTTTCCATCGATCAGGAAATCTTTTTCTAGACATTCATTCATGACTCTTAAAATCACATCAGCACACTCATCTACTACCTTTTTAATTACTTTTGTTGGAATACGTTTATGCCGGGAGCTTTCAGATTTTTCAACGTTTTGGTTGCTTGATGTAGTCCCTAGGTCCTATTTTAAATTTACTTGTCATAATTGTATGCTTCTCCCCAAGTGTCACTGTTTAGTTCTTCGCTTTTTCCTTAGACGACTGAATTTCCTTTCTAAGTTCTTTGAGTATTCTATAGCACTTCTCTACTTCTTGCATTTCTTTCTCCACTCTGCCAAGTTGTCATTACAGCAATATACGGCCTTTTCGTTGTGTGTGGGACTTCTTATTCGTTTAGA